CACTAATTTAAAACCTACTGTCAGAATAGATTGAAGGAAGTTTTAAAATCATTGCACTTATGTCCTTGCAGTGACAGAACTCACAATCGTATCAGGGAGTATGGCAGGAAAAAGTTTCTATTGCATGTGACTCCTCAGCATTGTTACAAATAAAAATCGAATGTTAGAAAATGGCAGTCATTGCTGCTGACAACTCATTTTCTGTACTGGACACAAACATTTTCTGTGTAAGTGGAATACTATTTTCTTAAAAAGGATGTTGTTAAGTTGGGTCACAGAAATTCTGTCTCTCCTTGACATAAAATAATTTTCATATAAACGATGTTTAAGTTTTGCAGAAGATTGCCCCCCCTCATGTGGGTGTGTCATTTGTACAACTTTTCAATTCCTGTACAGCAGCCAGGATCTGAAAATTGTCGAATATGGTGACAAAAACAGTCAGAACTTGCTTTTGTTTTTGCTGAGGAATCATGACCTAGACACATTAGAAATTGGAGCATGACTCAGCCCATCAAGCCTGCTCTGCCATTCTAAGTCATAGTTAATCATTTACCTCTACATCCCTTTCCCCCAGTATCCACATATCCCCCAATTTCATTAGTATCTAGAAATCTATCAATTTATGCCTTGAACTTGTTCAATGATTGAACTTCCATAGTCCTTACGGGTAGTGAATTGCAAATGTTCACCATCCTCTGAACGAAGAAATTCCTCTTCATCCCAATTTTAGTGGCTTCCTCTTATTATGCAGCCATGAATCCTGATTTCAGACTTTACAGTGAGGGAAATTATTCTATCCAATCTGCCTTGGCATGTCCTGTAAGAATTTTCTCTGAAAATATGAAGAGTATAGGCCCAGTTTCTTCAATCTTTCTTCAAAAGCCCATTCTGCTATTCCAGGAATTAGCCTACTGAATATCTGTTGCACTCCCTCAATGGCCGCAAGACCAAAACTGTACACAATAATCCAGATGTGGTCTCAGCAAGAGGATATACAATTGCAGAAAAAGAAAACTTTATGTCATGCACTGAAATCTTTTGTTAATGAAGGCTTATCTTCATTTGCTGACTGAAATAACCGCACAGAAGCAGGTAACCCATCACCAAGTCAGCCTTTATTTACTTGTGCACTGTACACCAGTGGTGGCCCAGCCAGCTCAGAGTCAGTGGCCTGAACTGAGGAGATTCTGTCCTGATTGGCCCAGGTTAACAATGCTAATCAACAACCTTGTAGTCAATGAGATCAACCTGGATCTAATCACTACACCTACCGATTTGTTTGTTGCACGGGCAAGCTAGCTGTTAGAGCCTCATGAACAATGATAACCCAGGCTCTTTGGATATCAACCATTTCCACCTCCTCACCTTACACTTACTCACATTATATTTTACATACTAAGTTCTCGCCTATTCACGTGGCCTGTCCAAATTCTCTTGAACCTTCTTTGCACCCTCATATCAACTTACATTCCCATATGTGTAATCAGCAAATTGGAATTCTTTTTATTCACTTGTGGGACGTAGGCAATGCTGGCTGGACCAGCATTTATTGCCCATTCCTAGTTGAGAAAATGTCATAAGCTGCCTTCTTGAATCTCTGCAGGCCATGTGCTGTAGGTAGACACACAATGCCATTTAGGAGGGAATTCCAGAATTTTGATCCAATGACACTGAAGGATTGGCTATGTATTTTTAGGTGAGGATGGTGAGTGGTTTGGAGGGCAACTTGTAGATGGTGGTGTTCCCATGTATCTGCTGCCCTTGCCTTTTTAGATGGAAGATGTCTTGGGTTTGGATGGTGCTATCTAGGGATCTTTGGTGAATTTCTGCAGTGTATCCTGTTGATAGTATGCACTGCTGTTACTGAGCATTGGTGGTAGAGGAAGTGGATGCTTGTGGGTGTGGTACCAATGAAGTGGGCTGCTTTGTCCTCGATGATGTCAAACTTTCTGAGTGTGTTGGAGCTGAACTGCAAGTCAAGGTAAGTTACTTCCTGCAATATTCCCAACCTCTGACCTGCTGTTGTAATCGTTGTGTTTATATGGCTAGTCCATTGGTAACTCCAGGATGTTGATAGAGGGGGATTCAGTGATGGTAACATCATTGAATGTCAAGGGGACTATCTCTTATTGGAGATGGCATTCCCTGGTGTGACTGTTACTTGCCATTTTTCAAACCAAGTCTGGTTATTGTGTACGTCTTTTATTTCAAGTTCAGGAATTATTATATTTGGATCCTAAATCAAAATCATATTATATGTATATGTTCTGGAACTATTTGTTGATAAATATGATTGTTTAAAATATTTTGTCTTAATCATTAATTCCCCTCCTTTCATGGTTAATTGAGCGATTTTTCTTTCTCTTATTTCTGTACCCTCTCCTAATCCCACGAGACCAGTCTTCCACTACACTGTTATGGCTTCTTAGTCCTCATTGTGACATTTCTTTCCTGATAAGTTTCATCTTCCATTGATTGCAGGTATTATATTGAGTGGCCAATTGCTGTTACATGCTTTAGAAAGGATTTTCTTTATCTCACAATTTCTATCCATAGCTTGCAGTAGTACTCAAGTTCTGAAGCAGTGAGAATTGGAGATGGAGCAGGATAGGAAGATTTTCACGCGGGAGTTCACTTTTCATGATTCTGCAAAAAAATTTATCACACCTTACCGGTGATCCTAGTGCCCAACATTTTGATTTTGCTGGTTTAAGAGTGTTTATAATTTTATATCATGGCTACTGTAACAAAATTGTTTTCGTCATTCATTCATTCATATAAAAGTGAAAATAATGAGGACACATTTAAAGTAATTGTAGAAAATCACAAAGTAATAGTGCCTATTCCAACTTGCAGCCTCAATTTACTTTATTACTATCTAGATAAAAGACATATGTACAAATGTTACACTGTGTATGAGTTCCTTGTTTTAAGTGCTCCAGTGACATTTTAGAAATAGTTCTCTTGCTAATTTTCTGCCACGTTCCCTCTCTCTTCAAAGTGTAAATTGTTACTCAATTGCAATTGCACAGACACTTGCCTCCAGTATTCAGCAATTCTGAATCCATAAGCCTTATGTCCATTTATACATGCATAAACAGCAATCTGTGAGTATTATAACATTCAGAGAATGGTGTTCTCTACTGCTGGTCACTATGTTCAGTTCCTCCTTGTAATGGGTGGAGGCTCAAGGCTAACTTGTCAATAGATCAGAACATTTCAAGGGTTACTGTACAGTCATTTTTAGAGCTAGTCAGGGTGTCTGAAATAACCTGCCATTTTCTCTCTCTTTCTTTCTCTGACAATTCAAGTGTGTGAGTTAAAAACCTACTAGAAACCATTGTCAACACTTTCCAGAGTTCCTGAAGAAGGTTTCAGAATCTATCTCATTGTCTCCAGAAGAGAGAAATCAGCCAGGCACAAATGATTCAGAAAGACACCTTTGTGTCAACCATTTGTGTGTCCAACATGTCTTCAGCTGGACATCACCTTTTCGGACAATCCATGAATAAGCCTTCTACTTTCTCAGATTTGGGGGTTGTATGTGTGTTAGTTTTCAAAAAGCGATATATATATATATCTGGAATAGAATACATTTCGAAGACAATTTCACGATAGCATAATATCAGCTGTGCTATTACCTTAGCCTGATGAAGAGACAAGTGTTAAAAAAATTCCAGATTATATATACATATTTTATATATATATATGCAGTCTAAATCTTTTGTTAATAATCTGTGTATCCTTACTTAAATAGGTTTTGGTTGTAATAAATGAGTTCAGGACTGAGTGACATTGTGGTAGTGTCACTGTGTGTGTACTCCAGAACCCCAGATAATGCTCCGGAAACATGGTTCCAATCCCATCATGGCAATTTGAAATCAAGAATTACGAACTTGTCCAATATGATGTGTAATCATTGTCAATTGTTGTAAAAACTCATCTGGCATACTAATGTCCTTTAGGAAAGTACATTACCGGGTCAGACCTACATTGACTGCAGACCCGTAGCAATGGGCTTGATTCTTAATTACCCATTGAAACTTCCTAGCCAGTACTTACGGTAATTAGGAATGGGCAACAAATGCAGGCCTCGAAACAACTTCCACATCATATGTTCGATTGCAAATAAGTTATTTGTTAACCAAAGAAACCTGGCAGACTTATTTCTGATCCTGAACACATTATGATATCTATATAATTGGCAATATCAGTAACCTTTTTTAAATTCAAACTTTGTTATGACCAGAGAAGCAGTGGATCTAAGAAAGGAATCTGTTCCCGTTTCTAACCTTAGCTGTAATGATGTCAGCATGCTTCTCAACCATGGGGTACCATCACTGTCTGGCAGCCAGACAGAATGATCAGAGAAGGAAACCGGAAGAATTTTCTCCTCTTCAAGTTAATGGCACTGAGGCTAACCCTCAGAACTCTACCGCCTCCTTCTCACTGAAATCAGCACAGAGGTCAAGTCTGGGTTTGTGCCAGACAATCTGGAATTTTTTTAACACTTGATTCTTCATCAGGCTTAGGTAACAGCGCAGCTGATATGATACTATCGTGAAATTGTCTTCGAAATATATTCTATTCCAGATCCACTGCACAGTCACTTCACATCCCAATTATAATCAGCTCAGAAGTCTTCTTGAGAACAATGTTCAAAAGCAGAAATCTGTCAATGGTAGTTAGTGACTAAAATCACATTGTCATTCTAGAAATAGGTTATTTTCATTTTATGGAAGGTAATCTCAATTTCTCCTGATATTTTTCTTATAAATTGATTTTTGAATTTTTCCACATAGATGTGCACACCCATACAGAAATCTAACAACCAATGAGAAAATTAAAGCATCAGCATTTGAAGAAAGAACACAGATGTAAACAGAAAATCAATAAGGTAAATGTAAAGAGAATCTAAGTTTACAAAAGCTGATAAGAATAATCAAATCAGACCCCATAAAAAGTACTTCTAAAATAATTTTTCAAAAAGACTTGCAATCTTTTTCTCATTTTTAAATTTATTTTTTAATACCCAGATCGTAAAAAAAATGTTACAACAGTGCAGCTTAGTAGCTTTTCAGCTCTTTGCAGTTTTCACCATCCCTAGTACTGAGGATAGACCATGTATAAATACATTACAGATTGGAATCATATGATCAATATAGTTGTACAAAAACATGACAGTGGCAGTACAATAAAACTAGATTGTAAAACAGCTCAGTCCCACTTGTGAATATGCTTCTAATCTTGTGACTGCTCCTAATTTGGCATCCAGTGCCTATATAGAACACCTTTCAAGTCTCATGGATAGCAAGTTTGACACAGAGCAACACTTACATACTCTGGCCAATAATATATTTATTACAGCAGCTTGATTTTATTCACTTTGGCTATCCCTGTGGCCATTCTTTCCAGGGTTTCCCAATTTGTATTGCATTAAGAGCTAAAACCATCCATGCTTATTTTAAACAAAATCCATAAAGCTGGCAGAAAGAGGAAATGTTAATCCCATTAATTTGAAACCAAATACCACAGCTAAAAGGATAATTTGCTAACTCATTGCAGTACCTGATTTCTATATAGTGGCAAACCTGATAGCAAAGTGCTATATTTACAATTCAGCCTCTAAGTCTTTCATCTGTGTTCTTCCTATGATTCAGCGATCAGTATGGAATTGAGATACACCAACCCTGAAAGTCCCAACTTTGTGTGTGCTGATTTAGTTAATCTGAATCTAGAAATCTATATTCACTGGGTATAGAAATCATGACCAGTTTCCACCCTCCCAAGAGCATTGATGCTCAGGCCATTACTGAGGACTGATCCTCATCTTGACTAAAATCCAATAACAGCACATAATATGGGTTCAAAATAAAACCTTTCTGGTTTGTGTCGTTTACTGCCACATCACCAACTGAACCAACAGCGAAGCAAAGGTACAATTACATAGATTTGACCTTACAAGAAAAAAAGACAGCAAAGGTTTTGTAGTTATTTGATGTTGGACATTGAGAAAATATTTCAATTCAATTAAAAAGCTAAATGTGATGCTGGGTGAAAAGCAGTTATATAATATTCTACTCTGATTTTCCATCACCACATCAGAAAAGCGAATACATTATACTGTAATCAGACCTTTACTTGAATGTAATAAACATACTGAACTATGCTTCAATGTCTTTCAGTGCAATACTGCAATATCTTGGCCCCCTAATCTTCAAGTGTAAATCACAATTTAGAAAATGTCAAGTTCAAAATATTTCAAATATATATCTTGCAGAACATTTTCTCTCACAAGTAGTAGAATATGCCACATAAGAAGGTTTCATGCTGACATTGAACAGTAATTGCACCAGCTTTCAGAGGTAGAATGTATCTTTAAAAGCCTTTATCATGACATTTTCATAATGACAGGAAAGTAAAGATGCTAATTTAGTAATCAGATGATTGAGGCCTTACTCTGCTCATTCTCCTCACAAAGGTTTCTTAGTATTTTTGAAACGTTCGAGAATGCTTTTACAGCATGTTATAAAACAATTCAGTAATTTTTAACAAACTAGTCATTCCATTCACCAGATCCTTGAGCATGAACTGTTAATTATCAATAGTACCAGTCATCCCTGAGTTGTAGTAAAAAGGAGCCCCATCAGAAGATGATATGCAAAAGAAAATGATCAGTGCAACACAAAAAGTCAGACTGGCCTTTTTTTACATTGAATTTATCATGTACAGGCATTAAGGAGAAAACATTTTGAGATCAAAAAGGATATATGCATAATCAGTGATAAATCTTCTGCTTTCTCAAATGTGATCACAAAAGATTACAAAGGAATTGAATTAAGTTGCCTTTCCCTTTAAAAGTTGTCCTTTGTTCCTCTCTTGCTGAAGCAGAAACATCATAGCATTAATTTGCTGTCATTAATATTTCAGTTCAATATTAGTATTGTGGAAAAATACGTAAAAACAGCTGGTACAAAAACACCATCATTCAAACATAAATCCTATTTACATAGCACTTTCTTTGGCATGAAGTCTCAAAAGGAATATGAGAAGAAATATATCCTTGGAACAGAAATGATTTCAACAAACAACAAAGTCTGCTTGACCAGAGTGCGACTGAAGTGGAGTATTTACAGTAACTATTTCTCCTTCTCCCCAGCCACCTAATTATCTTTGCTGTTTACCCCTCTTTTCCTGAAAGCACTGATGTTTGTCTGGATATGTCAATCCAATATTTAGCCCTGAAGCACTTTTGTGTAAAACCTAAACAATAAAATGCTGTCCAGCTGTTCACAACAGAGAGCACTAGACCCAAGCTTTAACAATGTCTCATCTGATTTTCACACGTCTGTTTTTGCACAAGAGGTCATTGGATAATGTTCAGGAGTGAAACTCCTGGCCGCTTTTTCAACTCCTTAATCCAGTGGTGCACTTCCTAACCGCAGTGCCTGCATTCCTGCCTTTGTTGACCTTGTCAAGCTCAGCGTTACTCATTCATTAGAGATAATAGCACATATTTATCAAGCATTTTTCTTAGCAGACATGAAACACCATGATGACGATTGATATGGAAAAGCTGTATCCTGGCATCACTGTCATGTAACCTCAATAAAATTGGAGAAGGTGCATGGCTTGTATCACACATTAAATGAAGGATCAGGGCATAAACTATCAGGGCATAAAAAATCAAAGAGCTTGGTCCATAGATTTTGGATGTTAATATATACTTCATGAAGTCAGTGCCCCTTTGACATGTACAACAGGTACACTAGCTTGTTCTATATGAATGGGGGTTCATCTTATGTTCACTTGGAGTCATACCACTTTCCATATTTTACTAACTGGCAAAGAAAATAACAAAATGACCATGTTGGTATTTTGGCAAGAAGTATTTGCAGACTGGCATAAATCAAATTTTAATTGTAATTTACAAAAAACAAACAAATTCCAACAAAGAGAACTCTAAGAATGAATTCGCTGGTCACATTCACTCAAAACAAGCTTCAAATTAAGGCTCTAAGAAGTGAGATTAATGAGTAGCATTCCAAATATTATACAGCACTCTTAATGGAGAAATAGAATGTAATGAACACACTCTAAGCACAGATCCTTCGATTTTATTTTTAAGGACTGTATAAAATTCTCTAGTTATAAATAAATGTTATGAGTAAAATTAATACCAAATTAAGTTGCATTCAAAATGTTCGTCACTCATTAAAAGGTAGAGATTTGTAAAAGGATCTTTGAAAGAATGCAAAATTGACCCTGAAAAATGATTTCCTTCGGGTGTGGGATATTCAAGCTTCTAGTATTATGCATTAGCCAGAGGTATTATTTCGTTCTCAGTCCTTGCTGCTTTTGGATCTATTTTATCACCTTTTCCGCCTTTCTTGCGTTTCATTTTTATAAATACCACTGCAAGGATCAAACCTATGGGAACATTTTGAGAATAAATGTTATTATTTCAGTCAATTCTCGAAAAAAGTGAAATGACATTTTAGCCACTGAAGCTTTTATCAGACATGCAGCTTGGGTCTTGGTCAACACATACCTATAAAAACAAAGGTTCCAAGCAATAGTCCAACTGCAAGTGCGATTTTTGATGAATTAGATAAACCTTCTACTGGAATGAAGCACGCATTTTTATCTGTGCATTTACAGACAGTAACTGAGGAGGAAAAGAAAAAGAATTGTATAAAACATATATTTGACTGATAACATCACATTAAATTCTGAAATCAATGTGATAATTTGCACGTAACATTTGATATTACCACATGCCTGAACACTGAGAAGCCTAAGTGAGGTTTAAGGATGATACGCAAGTTAATTCTGAAGACAAGATTTGATTGGCAATAGATGCAACCTTACTATGGTCACTGAGAGCGAATTAAGAAAAAGGTATGAAATCATACCCTGACATCGAGCAAATAATACTCCAGGAATACCACACTTTAAAGCTAGTTTAAGGCAATGCATATTGGAGACTTACTACATTTGTTCCTAATCTGCCTTAATTATCCAACCAATCTTGACAAATTATCAAAGGACCAAAGATTTTACAATTCCTGCAAGGTCTACCTGCTAGGATGGAAATATCATCAACATCAAGTTGAGGTCACCCAAGCTTCCATGTGTGGAAGGATAAACTGGCTGTCTATGTTTATTCACTGCCACCTCAGTTGGTTATAACATGGTTATTTTAAAAAGGATCGCTTCCTCTGTGGACGCCTTTCTCCCAGACCCAAATAAATGCATTTTTTTGAAAGGAGCCCATTTAACCAGGCATCCTTGAATTAATAAAAAGACTGAATTTATTAATTACTAAATGTGAGAAAAAGTAGTAATGCAGCAACATATTTACTCAGAACTGAATTTTCCTAGCCCCAAACGATGTGGGTAATGATGAGTGAGTTGGGAGTGTGTGGCAACATATTATTTTATGTCTATAAAATAGTCGAATTCTACAACAGTGAGACAATAATCTCACTAGTGAGTGGTGTGATGCATATTTGCATGCACTTACATGTCATTTGTACCTAACCTCATCTCATTTATATACAGATTCCTATTCTCCCATATGCTGGAGAGAAACAACACAGCGACAATTCCCAATATAAAAGTCGGAGCAGGCATCTGCTGGCTCCAATTCATCACTTGCTCTACTATGTCTCCATCTTGGACAATAGTCCCTTGCAATACATGTTGCACTCCAGAGGCAGCAAATGCCTACACGACTCCCATTCATATGTTATGGCACCAGATTCATCACATCCTCATGGCAGATCTCCAACTCACGTAGAATACAGTTCCCCACTTCATTGCTACACTTTGGAGCTCACTGGCGTCCTGCATCATTATGCTGCTGGCAGGTCACTTTGTGTGCAGTGACAAGCACCCGTCTTGTGGATTGCACCGCAGTGCATCGCAGAGCTCCCAGCTAGCTCTCTCAATGCTCACTCACTTGGAACCTACTTGGATGTTCAGAGTATCTCTACCTTTCTTTGCCTTTTGCCGCTTCATTTAGACCCTAAAGGCTCACAGCACATCTCTGTTGCCTTGCTGAGTGGGAGGTGATGGCCTACTGGTATTATCACTGGACTATTAATCCGAGACCCAGCTAATGTTCTGGGATCTTGGATTTGAATCCTGCCACGGCAGATGATGGAGTTTGAATTCAATAAATATCTGGAATTAAGAGTCTAAATGATAACCATGAATCCGTTACTGATTGTCGGAAAAACCCATCTGGTTTGCTAATGTCCGTTAGGGAAGGAAATGATCAACATGTGAGTCCAGACCTACAGCAATGTGGTTGACCTTAACTGCCCTCTGGGATGGGCAATAAATGCTGAGCTAGACAGCGACACCCTCATTCCATGAATTAATTAAAGAAAAACAGGCAGCTTGTCATAGCTGTCAGCAACAATCAGCCAATGGCACTGTGCTAAATCAACATCTCTCCTAGAGCATGTGGCAACTTCCGTTGATGTAGTTGGGGGTGTGTTCTCCTCCTTTCTTTCTGAAGTTGATGATCAGTTCTTTAGTTTTGCCGACGTTGAGAGACAGATTGTTTTCATTCCACCACGTCAACAAGTTCTCTATCTCCTTTCTGTAGTTTGACTCATCGTTGTTAGATATCCATCCCCATACGGTGGTGTCGTCAGCAAACTTGTAGACGGCATTCATTCAGAATTTGGCAACACATATGTCAGTGTAAAGGCAGTATGGTATGGGGCCGAGGACACATCCTGTGGGGATCCAGAGTTGAGTGTTAGTTTAGAGGAGGTGTAGTTACCTATCCTCACTGATTGTGGTCTATGGATCAGAAAGCTGAGGATCCAGTTGCAGAGGGTAGAGCTGAGACCAAGGTCACGCAGTTTGGAGATCAGTCTGGAGGGGATAATGGTGTTGAAGGCGGAGCTGTAGTCAATGAGCAGGAGTCTGATGTGGGTGTCTTTGTTGTCCAGATATTCCAGGGATGAGTGCAGGGCTAGGGATATGGCATCTTCTGTGGACCTGTTACATCGGTAGGCAAATTGTAGGGGATCGAAGCGGGTTGGGAGACTGGAGTTGATGTGGACCATGACCAGCCTCTCGAAGCACTTCATGATAATTAAGGTCACAGCCACTGGGCAGTTATCATTAGGGCATGTTACATGTGCTTTCTTAGGTACGGGGATAATGGTGGTCTTCTTGAAACTGGTGAGGACTTTGGCTTGTAAGAGGGAGAGGCTGAAGATGTTGTTGAATACCTCCGCCAGTTGGTCCCACAGGATTGGGTGCTCGGCCAGGGACACTATCCAGGCCTGTCACTTTCCTTGGGTTGACTCCCACAAAGACCGATCTGATTTCTGATGTAGTGACAGAGGTTACAGGTGTGCCTGGGGCTTTCAGGGCAGGCTTCGTCGCGCCACTGGTATTCTGCTCAAACCGAGCATGGAAAGCATTGAACATGACAGGAGGGTTGTTGTCTTTGTCCACTATCTTACATTGTTTCATTTTGCATCCTGTTACATCGTTTAGCCCTTGCGATAGGTGGCAGGTGTCTGTTTGGTAGGGTTGGGCCTCTGTTTGGTCGGGTACTGCCCCTTGGTACCCCTGATGGCTTTGTGGAGGTCATATCTGGATTTCCTGTATTGGTCCGGGTCACCTGACTTGAAAGCTGCACATCTGGTCTTCAGTAGGGATTGGGCATCCTGGTTCATCCAAGGTTTACGGTTGGGGAGCACTTGGACTGACTTCTTTGGTACACAGTCCTGTACACAGTTGCTAATGAAGTCCGTGATGGTGGTGGCGTACTCATCTAGGTTTTCCTCTGAACACTTGAACAAGGTCTAGTCCACCGATTCTCAGCAGTCCCACAGACAGTCTTCTGCCAACTCGGACCAACACTGTACTTCTTTTCGTGAAGGATTCTTCCTTTTCAGCTTCTGCTTGTAAGCTGGGAGGTGAAACACAGTGCTGTGATTTGATTTTCTGAAGTGTGTGCAGAGGCTGGAGCAGTAGGCGTCTTTGATGGTTGTGTAGCAGTGGTCCAGAAAGTTCGGTCCCCTGGTGGGGCAGGAGATGTATTGATGCTACTTTAGCATCACCCACTTGAGGTTGGCTTGGCTGAAGTCACCCACCACAATGAATAGAGCCTCGGGAAATTTTGTCTCTAGAGTGTTTGTGGCGGTGTAAATCTCATCTAGGGTGCACATGGCGTGGTATGTAGACTGCTGTCAGGATGGCAGAGGTAAACTCTCGTGGTGGGTAATAGGGACAGCATTTTAATGTAAGGTTGTCTAGGTCCAGGGAGCAATGGCTTGCCAGGGTCGCTATATCTGAGCACCAGGCGGTATTGATCAGGAAGCCTAACCCACCACCCTTCACCTTAACTGAGCAGTCCATGCAGTTTATTGGGAACCTATCAGCTCGTAGGGTGCATTTGGGAATGGCAGGGGTGAGCCAAATCTCCATGAAGCAGAGCACATAACAGTCTCTCAGTTCCCTCTGTAAGGCTAGATTTAAATTCATCCATTTTGTTTTCGATACTTTGGACATTTGCTCGGAGTACGCTGGGGAGAAGACTCTTGAAACCCTGTTGTTTCAACCTCGCCTTCAGGCCAGCACATTTTGGATAATTTGTCAACTTAATGCCATAAAATAAATTAACTTCCTTAATCTCTCTTGATAGTGAAATAAGTGGTGCAGACTGAGTTTTGGTATCAGTGGTAAATGAAAAGTGCAACACAGAAATACCGGCTTACACATATGGGAAACTGATTTCAGATTAGTATGATTAGAGGCAAAGAACGGATAAGAGGTAGAATTTTAGCTTGGCAAGATTACAAAGGAATGCATGAAATGTTTAAATTATCCCATCTTGAAACATGTCCAAACATACAAAAGTAATGAACCTGTCAGCAGGGATCTACAGAGAAATGGCAACCAGAAAAAAGACTGGATTAAACATAGATTTTGTGGCAAGCATGACGTACAACTCAACCTGAGGAAGAGAGATTTGGGAATATTTGCCACACAAGTGGCACACATCCAATCCCATTCTAGATCAATCATAACAAGTTCCAACTGGCCTCAATTGCTGCTGAAATAATTCACTATTCTAATTTTTTTTAATTAATCTGTAGGTGGGATTTGAATCTGGACCTCCTGGATCGGGGATAGAGATACTATCACTGTGCCACAAGATCCATTCACTATTCTAGGATTATACTGATCATTGGTTGAACATGTGACTTGTTTCCAAATCACCAAACATGTCCACTCCACACTCCCCACTAGCCCCACCACTCCAGGCACGTTTCCCTGCAACCGCAGGAAGCACTACACCTGCCCCTACACCTCCCCCCTCACCTCCATCCAAGGCCCAAAACAAACCTTTCATATCCGACAGGGGTTCACCTGCACATCCATCAACTTGGTCTACTATATCCGCGACTGCCGATGCGGCCTCCTCCACATCGGTGAGACCAAGCATAGACTCGGGAGACCATTTCGTAAATCATCTGCACTCTGTATGTGACAAATGACAACACCTTCCAGTCGCCAACCATTTTAACTTCCCCTCCCACTCACTGGGTGACCTGTCCATCCTGGGCCTCCTCCAGTGTCACAATGACATCACCCGCAAACTGGAGGAGCAACATCTCATATTCCACCTCGGGAGCCTGCAGCCCGATGGCCTAAGCATGGAATTCACCAGTTTCAAAATCTCCCCATCCCTGGCCTCATCCCATGTCCAACCCTCCCTCTCATTCCCGCCTCCTTGACCTGACACAACTTGTCCATCTTCTCTCCCACCTATCCGCTCCTCCCACCACACTGACAAATCCCCACCACTCCCTACCTGTACTCACCTATCACCATCCCACCTACCTTCCCCAGCCCCACCCCTCCTCTCTCTATTTCTGAGCTCCCTTCCCCCTCCCCCCTTTCTGAAGAAGGGTCCTGGCTTGAAACATCAACTTTCCGGCTCCTCTGATGCTGCCTGGCCTGCTGTGTTCCTCCAGCTCCACGCTGTGTTTTCTCATTTTCTATGCCCCACTTTTCTCCTCCCTGCAAACTCACATCAACAAGCGAGCAGAGATCCAGAAATTCTTTGTTAAGTATAGACTATTCAGTAGGTTAGTCTGCTGATTTTACCCTCTCTCCTTGCCTCCCAAGACAATCATCCCTCAGACTTTCACTCTCCATGCTGTGAACCCTTCCATGCCTCATCTAAACACATGTTACCAATTGACCTACTTCCTCCTACTTTGTCCCTCAATTCTGACTAACTGCTGACCATCCAATTTTCCTTTGTGGTATTTAGCTAACTGACATTGTAAAACCTTTCATTTCCTTAGAGATTGACCAGGAAATATATTCCAGATCTTATATGCATACTGTATGAATAACTTTTTCTTCTGTTATCTTTGGCCTGTTTGCCATTCTTGTTTTGTCATTGTCTTTAGAGTTGTGACCTTTTCACCAATGGAAATATTTCCTCTCCATCTACACTATCCATATCCCTCATAATTTTGAACACCACTAATAAAATTGCCTCTCAAACTTCGCTACTCTAAGGAGAACAATCCGAGCTTCTTCAAACTATTAAAGGGAAGTCCCATATCTCAAAAATCCTTCTTATTGAATCCTTTTTTGAATTGTCTCTCATGCCTTCAGATCTTTACTAAAGCATGGTGCCTAGAATTGGTCACAATATCAGTGGTTCTACAAAGTTTACTATAACTTACTTGCTCTGGTACTATTTATAGAGCCTAAAATCCCACATTTCTTGTTAACTAACTATCTCAAACAGCCCTGCTACCTTCAACAATTTGTGCACATAGTCCCTGATGCCCCTCTACTCCCAGTTAGAAGTGTGAAAATAAGATTCAAATAGAGCAACGAAAAAAAAAGTAACATACATTTTATATGTCACTTTTCATAGCCAACAAAGTACCTGTAAATTTCATTCACTATTGCTATATCAGGAAATTTACTGGAAAATATATGTTATAGCCTGGTATGTTCAAGATTGCTGCAAATTCTAGAACTGCAAGCCAGGCTCATGCTTTGAAAAGTGAAGGTCCACATCGATTAAAATTTAATTATATAAGATCATAACAATTAAGAGCAGGAGTCAGCAATTCAGCCCCTTGAGCTTGCTCCACCATTCAATACAATCATGGCTAATCCCATTCTCAGCCTCAACTCACTTTCCTGCCCACTCTCTGTAACCCTTCAACCCTTTACTAATTAAAAATCTTTCTATTCCTCCTTAAATTTACTCAATGTCCTGGCATCCTACGGCACTCTGGGTACTGAATTTCACAGGTTAACAACTCTTTGAGAGAAGGTTCCCTCTTCATTTCCCCTCATCTGTGTTATAAATCTGCCACCCCTTATCCTAAAATTATGACCTCGTGAAGCAATTGTAAGGGACAAACTCTGAGAAGCATTGGAGACAGATAGTATGGAAACAATTAACAGAGATCCATGAAAGAGCAGACAATTCAGAGATATTTGTTTTTGGGACCAATCAGATAAACATTGATAAATATTTGCCATTCTCTTTCTCAAGGACTTTGGGTTTGTGAATTATGAGATATAAACTGAAGGCTTACCCTTAAAATGGCTACTTGTCATCCATCACATAATCATTTATGAAGAACTAGCTGGAATTTTAAGATGATACCATTGAAAAATTACCTGTTATACTATCAGTTCCTTGTTGGGGTGGAGAGCCACTATCAGTGATTAGCACACGAGGATTATATTTTGTTTCTTCACTGTGTCGGCCAAATTTCATGGTGACCAAGGCATGAGTACCTGTGAAGACCACCAATGTAGTGACATTATTCAGGTACAATACAAACATTTGGAGTTACTTTACAAGGATTCCAAAAATCTGTTTCAAATTCCTACTCATTAATCCCAAATACCTGTCATTTTTACATCAAATTCCAATTAGACAATTTTGCTGTCATGCAGTAAAAATGGGACTCTGAGTTTTTAAATAGATTCATTTCCTAAGTTTAGAAGTGCTTTAAGATAAAGGAACACTGATGCTGAGCTCTAAACATAAATCCAGATGTGAGTAAATGAAGTGAAGTTTTCAGCCTTAAGTCAAGGCAGATGACAGCTGTTTGAGTTTGCAATCTTCCCTTTAGTTGTGAGTGAGCTTCAGATGTAAAATGTGCTCCCCATACTCCACAGTTAGCCCATGTTTAGTGCAGGAAGATGATTTTATTGTGCATTTTTTAAAGTGTGTATTCGCTTATACCCTATATCTTTAAGACAAGATTGGATCATGGCCAAATTCAAAGTTCAAAGCTTGTTAGTCTAGAGATAAAAAAGAGCCTCCAGCTGAACACCCACATAAATCTATGGAAATAGCCAACCTCCTCTCAGCAAAGATGAAGACAAGCAACTATACAGGTTCTAGAGACATCAAAGGTTGGTGAACATTAAAGTCAAGCATAAAAAAGAGCTTAAATTGAGCGCAGTTAAACAAGAACTGAAAGTCTAACTACCTGAAACAGTCTGCTTACCTAAAAGTCCAACTATCAGAAGTTACAGGACATAATCAAGCTTTGGAAACTGAGAAATAAAAGGCCATAGAAGATCTCCAGAAATCCTCTGCACACACACAGAAAGTGTTCTCAAGTGATTGACACAAAAAAGAGATACAGTGATATAAGAAACAACCTCTCCTTAAAAGGGAATATTCAAAGTTTCAAAATCATTGTGTGCTGTTACATGAGGAAAACATTCACCCTTAATTAACGAGTGATGATCTTCTGTTTAAAATAGACACTCTTAAGGGAAAAAAATAAAAAACTTCCTTTATGTTTGCAAAATGCTATCACAGAGAAGCAAGCCCTTATTTAGAATACATACAGCTCACCTGCTGCACAAGGGTGATTTTTGGAAAAAAAGGCTTAGAAAGATAAGGGCCATTAAAGCAAATTGCCATCCAGCTTGCAGATCATTGTGTTATGCAGGGACATCCTGTAGATTCTGCTCCAGAAGTTTATTTCCTCTCAAACAATGATGCATTTCTACTTTCTGATAGGATTCCAGGAATGTTTTTGTCCGTAGAGAAACTGCTATCTGACTCCAATCGTATGGTCACCCTGACTCCAACAGGGGAGCCCATGCAACATATGCACCCTTTAAGAGAGCTGAGAGTATTGTTCAAGATTAATGACTCAAACCAAAGAGACTTGTTGAATTTTGGGGAGATGGGAGTAAAGAGTTAAAAGTTCAGCGTTAAATGGATTATCATAAAAGAATTTGGGGTGGGTGTACAATAAAGGGTTTCTCTGAGGACAGCGAATGAGCTTGTGCAAAAGGAGCTATATCATAGCAATGTCAGATCACATGAGCAAAAGTTTGTGCCTACAAGACCCAAACCAAACCTTTTTGGTCCTAAACCTCGATACAAGCTGCCATTTTCTTGCTCTTCAACAAGGATATTGCTGATAGCATACGGGGTCAATTGGCTCATTTGGCTGGTATGTGATGCAGAATGATGCCAACAACGTGGGTTCAATTGCCACACTGGCTCAGATTACCACGAAGGTTTCCTTCTCAAAGTTGCCCCTCACGTGATGTGTTCTGACGCTTAGGTTAAACCAGCTCCTCTCTCTCACAAAGCAGAAGGACAATGTTGATTTTACCCTACCCTGACCACACTTAACTTCTGATAATCTAAAAGATGTATACATGAAACAATGAATCCAAGGTACAGTTTAGATTCAAATATGAAACATTGACTTGTGTTATTAAGCTTAAACAAATGGAGTTATTTGTCTTCATTTACCATTTATGTTTTCAACTTTCCATTTCTTGCCTGGATCTGCAGGAAAAGAAAACGTGAATGGAGGACCATTTTCTTTATCATCATCTACAGCATGGATTATTATTTTCTTCTCTTCTTCAGCTGGCAGGCAAATGAAAAACTGAGAGGAATCTTTTGCTAATTTGGGAGCGTTGTCATTAACATCTTTAAAGTAAATGGAGATTTCCACCGTAGAACTCTTTTTAGGTCTATCTATAAAAAAGCACAAAGCAAATATTTAGTTAAGACTAAACTTTAAGAGTGTTTTGTATGTGAGGTCAATTGAAGTAAAATTGGAACGACTTGAGAAATAACAATTGCAGAAAACTGAAAAGAAATTCTTAATATCCTTGTGAACAAAAGCAATGGATATTTATGTATTGACCCTCAGTTCAATGATATTCTCAATTCCTTTAGATTTCAGCTGCCTCGCCTCCACACTGATTTCTTTGACCGGGAATCTAATCCACCCTCTACAGACCCCTTCTCCTGCCTTCAACAAACCTCAGAAACCTATTACTATCCCACCTACCTTCCCCAGCCCCAACCCTCCTCTCTCTATCTATTTCCCAGCTCCCTTCCCCCTCCCCATTTCTGAAGAAGGGTCCCAACCCGAAATGTTAACTTTCCTGCTCCTCTGATGCTGCCTGGCCTGCTGTGTTCCTCCAGCTCCATACTGTATTGTCTTTGAACAAGACATAAATGGATTTAGACCTCAGTCACTAAACGAGATGCAAGTTTTTAAAAGAATGTTGGAAGCAGAAAGCTAGAAAATCATTCAGAGAATTCTACGCAATAGAGTTTCAGAGGATTGAAGAATCATGGCTAATTGTGTTTATAGAATCCTGACAGTGTTGAAGCAAGAGACAACAAGGTGCAGGGCTGGATGAACACAGCAGGCCAAGCAGCATCATAGGAGCAGAGAGGCTGACGTTTCGGGCCGAGACCCTTCATCAGAAAAGGAGGAGGGGAAGGGGTTCCGAAATAAATAGGGAGAGAGTGGGAGGCGGATAGAAGAGGGATAGAGGAGAGGATAGGTGGAGAGGAAACAAACAGGTCGAAGAGGCGGGGATGGAGCCAGTAAAGGTGAGTGTAGGTAGGGAGTTAGGAAGGGGATAGGTCAGTCCAGGGAGGACGGACAGGTCAAGGGGGCGGGATGAGGTTGGTCGGTAGAAGATGGAGGTGCGGCTTGAGGTGGGAGGAGGGGATAGGTGGGAGGAAGAACAGGTTAGGGAGGCAGGGACGAGCTGGACTGGTTTTGGGATGCGGTAGGGGGAGGGGAGATTTTGAAACTTGTGAAATCCACATTGATACCATTGGGCTGCAGGGTTCCCAAGCGGAATATGAGTTGCTGTTCCTGCAACCTTCGGGTGGCATCGTTGTGGCACTGCAGGAGGCCCAGGATGGACATGTCGTCTGAGGAATGGGAGGGGGAGTTGAAATGGTTCGCGACTGGGAGGTGCAGTTGTTTGTTGCGAACCGAGCGTAGGTGTTCTGCAAAGCGGTCCCCGAGTCTCCGCTTGGTTTCCCCGATGTAGAGGAAGCCACACCGGGTACAGCGGATGCAGTATACCACATTGGCAGATGTGCAGGTGAACATCTGCTTGATGTGGAAAGTCTTCTTGGGGCCTGGGATGGGGGTGAGGGAGGAGGTATGGGGGCAGGTGTAGCACTTCCTGCGGTTGCAGGGAAAAGTGCCGGGTGTGGTGGAGCTGGAGGGGAGTGTGGAGCGGACAAGGGAGTCACGGAGAGAGTTGTCCCTCCGGAAAGCAGATAAGGGTGGGGAGGGAAAGATGTCTTTGGTGGTGGGGTCGGATTGCAGATGGCGGAAGTGTCGGAGGATGATGCGTTGGATCCGGAGGTTGGTGGGGTGGTACGTGAGGACGAGGGGGATTCTTTTTTGGTTTTTATTGCGTGGACGGGGTGTGAGGGATGAGGTGCGGGAGATGTGGGAGACACGGTTGAGGGCGTTCTCGACCACCGAGGAGGGGAAGTTACGGTCCTTGAAAAACGAGGACAACTGAGATGTACGGGAGTGGAATGCCTCATCCTGGGAGCAGATGCGGCGGAGGCGAAGGAATTGGGAATAGGGGATAGCATTTTTGCAGGAAGGTGGGTGGGAGGAGGAGTATTCTAGGTAGCTGTGGGAGTCGGTGGGCTTGAAATGAATATCGGTTTCTAGGTGGTTGCCCGATATGGAGACAGAGAGGTCCAGGAAGGGGAGAGAGGTGTTAGAGATGGTCCAGGTAAACTTAAGGTTGGGGTGGAAGGTGTTAGTGAAGTGGATGAACTGTTCGAGCTCCTCGTGGGAGCACGAGGCGGCACCGATACAGTCATCAATGTAACGGAGGAAGAGGTGGGGTTTAGGGCCGGTGTAGGTACAGAAGAGGGATTGTTCCACGTAACCTACAAAGAGGCAGGCGTAGCTTGGGCCCATGCGGGTACCCATGGCTACCCCCTTTGTCTGTAGGAAGTGGGAGGAATTGAAAGAGAAGTTGTTGAGTGTGAGGACGAGTTCGGCTAAGCGGATGAGGGTATCAGTGGAGGGGGATTGGTCGGGCCTGCGGGACAGGAAGAAGCGGAGGGCCTTAAGGCCATCTGCATGGGGAATGCAGGTGTAGAGGGACTGGACGTCCATGGTAAAGCTGAGGTGTTGGGGACCGGGGAATTGGAAGTTCTGGAGGAGGTGGAGGGCGTGGGTGGTGTCACGGACATAGGTAGGGAGTTCCTGGACCAAGGGGGAGAAAATGGAGTCTAGATAGTTGGAGATCAGTTCGGTGGGGCAGGAGCAGGCTTTTTGGCCCATCGAGTCCACACCAACCTTCCAAAATGCATCCCAAACCCCCCAACCCCAAGCCTGTAACCCTGCATTTCCCATGACTAATCCACCCAGCCTGGACATTCCTGGACACTGCGAGCCATTTAGCATGGCCAACCTACCTAACCTGCACATTTTTGGACTGTGGGAGGAAGCCAGAGCACTCAGAGGAAACCCACACAGTCACAGGAAGAATGTGCAAACTCAACATAGTCACTCAAGGCTGGAATCAAACCCGGGTCCTTGGTGCTGTGAGGCAACAGTGCTAATCACCGAGCCACATGCCGCCGTGTTAGAGGGAAAGAAACAAACCGCAATTCAGAGTGAAGAAAAGGAAGATGCATCCTGAAGATAACATAATGTAAACATGACAAATGAAATCTTGTAAGCAAACTGCTGGATCATAGAAAGCAGAAACACTTAAATGTGCTGAACTTTGTGTAGTTCACAGATTATAGCTAAAGTGTGAGAATGTCAAATAAATTTGTATCATTTGTACTAATTTAATTTTTTACTGATTGGGCAGTAACCTGGTAGAGTAGGTAATCTACTCAGAGACAAAAAAATGAAAGGCAGCATCGAAACTGCCCACCATTGATTCTCCAGATAATGAAAATATAATTGATTGGGAGTTCAGCATGACAGAATATAATGTAGGGGTGTAAGTAAACAAAATGGTGTATTTAGATAAAAGGGGTCTCAGTGCTGGCTGTAGATTTTAAGAATCAAGTAAAATGTAGAAGTTGTAGTATAGTTATTTCACTCAAAATAAAATTGCTGGCAGGAAAGACAATGTCCTGTGCACCAGCAATAGCCCCATTCCCTGACGTATCATTGAGATGTGGGCTATTTTGAAATCTGGGCCTCATTAACATCCCAATAGTGAGCTGTCTGCACATAATGAAATAAGCAGACTACTTGACAGTAAAAGACTGACTAACACAAAGGAATGCAAAGCAGCACAATGTGCATTCATTTGCTTTGCATTCGGTCATTGTGTCTGCACCAACCTCTGAGCATTCTGACTTACTGCCAAACTTCTGCCTTTCCCCCATAACCTTGTACTTTATTTCTGTTTAAGTAATCATTCAATGACCCTTGAATGCTTCAGTAGAACATGCCTTCACTGCACTTCCTGCAACTGCATTCCAATTACTGGGACCACAACATCTGTCCTATATGTTTAAAAGAGGTTCAGAAAAAATGTGAACTGGGAATGCAGATACACAGCACATAAAAAAAAGTATCAAAATGGGGTAGTAAGACCATAAATGAACAAAACACTGGAGTTCAGTCCTCGAGAGATAGATCAGAAAGTAGTGAAATTATTTCAGACTAGCACAGAAGGTTTGTCAATCCACACTTGCGACACAATGAACAAATCTGATGTCCATATTTTAGATACACTGGGCCAAATGGCTGTTTCTCTGCTTTAAACACTTTGTAATACTTTGTATTCTGAGTAGAAATGTGAATTTCAAGGAGGTTATACTTCGGTTCTTTGGTCAGGCCCAACCTGGAGTGCGGCATTCCATGCTTCATAAGGAATGTATTTATAGATCTCCCTGAAAGTCTGTACAGGTAACACATATTCATTCAAATGTTACTAAGAAGTAACAAATTAAATGTGAATATAAAAATCATCATAATAAAACAAAAGAGAGCCTAAACCAATTTATGAAAATTTAGCAAGAAAAAATAATTACCTGAAGAATTATGGAAAGAATGAATGGATTTACTGTTTTGTGTACATTTTAATCACACAGTACTTTGGGATAGTAGAGATAACAAGGTGTAGAGCTGGATGAACACAGCAGGCC